CTTGTTCCTGGGGTCACAGGACCCTGGCTTTGGGGACTTGTTCCTGGAGTCACAGGAGACACATGGTGCCATTCTCAGTGCCCCTCCTTTGAAGCCAGCTCATCTTGTCTCCTGACTTCCTCCTAGGGCTGATACGGAAGATGGTTAAAGTTTTATTGTTTCTGATCGATATGGTCCCAAGCCTTGCCCCTTGGCAGCCACTGCAAAGCCACATCTACCCCAGGACCACATAAAAAGGGGCCACACCTGCTCCGAGACTCACTGTGGCAGTGCCATTGGCATCAGGACTGCAGAGAGAGGCAGCAGGACCATGGACACCAGGAGTGGTGAGTGGGTACAATCTGCACTATGGCAGCTTGGCTTTCTGGGTACCTGCTGCTATCCAGCACTCTGAGCTAACCACTTGCATCAAGGCAGGGTGCCTGGGCCATTGTCCTCCTATCTAATCCGTGGCTTGCTGTCTTATTCATTGAAGAAAGCCACATTTTCAGATACACAGTAATTTCAGATCCCCCAACAATCGCAGGGATAAGAATGCCTGCTCACTTTTCACCCACACTTTCTTAGGCTTGCTGCGTTTAGCTCTCCATGCGAGTCTCTTAGGTCCTCTGTGAGCCGGCATCAAGCATTGTGCGGCCTCTTTCTGAATGCAGAGCCATGGGTCAGGCAAGGAATGAGTACTCTGGAGCTCTGCGAAGGGGTGTAGTTTGAGTGACATTGGGTGACAACATAATTCTTCGTAGCCCCTAGGCCACCTCGATTCTTCAGATGGCCGAATGCTCATCCACATTCGGAGGAGAAGGATAGCAGGGCCAGGGGCTTGGTAATGGCTGTGTATGCTGGGAGGGTCTGCTGGTCAGAGAGATGGTTCGGGCTTAAGTCTGCTATACACTGGCTAGCAGTGTGGTTTTTGGTTTTCTCAGCCATAATAAAGGACAAGTCTGTGAAAGTTCTTTGCGAATGGCTAGGGACAACCATGCAACCTTGTTGATGTCACCTTGACACAGACTGGGGACACTTAAGAGGAAGGAACTATGGCTGATAAAATGTTTGGATCAAATCAGGCTGTAGTCAGGCCTGTACAGCATTTTCTTAATTAATGATTGATGGGGGAAGGCCATTGTGCATGGTGCCTCCCCGGTCAGGTGGTCTTGGGTTCTATAAGAAGGTGGGTTGAACCAAGCCATGAGGAGCAAACCAGTAAATATCACTTCTCCATGGCCTCTGCATCAGCTTCTACCTAAACTGGGTTCCTGTCCAGTTTAAGTTCCTGCTTTGGCTTCCCTCAGTGGACTATGACTGGGGACACGTAAGCCAAAGAAACCTTTTTCTCCCCACGTTGCTTTGGTCATGGTCTTTCATCACAGCAACAGAAACCCTACTAAGGGGCTGGAGAGATGTCTCCGTGGTTAAAAGCACTGGTCACTCTCCTGGACCACCTGGGTTCAATCCCCACCACCCACATGGTAGCTCAAATTGTCTATAACGCAAGTTCCAGGGGATCTAACACCCTCACAGGCAGGCAAAACATCAATGCACATAAAATAAAAACAAGTAAACCATTAAAATAGAAAGAAAGAAAAGAAGGAAGGAAGGAAGGAAGGAAGGAAGGAAGGAAGGAAGGAAGGAAGGAAGATATCCTAGCTAAGACCACAGCTTGAAAAAAAGATGTAGTTTCCTGACCCAGCCGGTATGTTAAGGGGAGAAGCACTCAGGAAAATGGCCAAGGGTCCAGGGTCACCAATGACGGAGCATCGTGAGGGGGGCCTAATGCACTTGAGAGGTTCTTTCTGATGACTGAGGACTTTCAGGATGGGTGAGAAAATGAATCATTTCTTTAAGAACAAAAGAATCACAAGCAAAACAAGTAATAACTGGTCATTGTAAAACTTAACCCTGTACCCCTGTGACTCCAGTTCCCTCTCCAGAGGGGGTCACAGTGTCTGTCTCAGCTTTTGTTTCTGCTTTCACGGATGCTTGTCTGGTACAGGAGCAGGTTTCTCAGCAGGCATTTTTACTCTCCATGCTGACACCCACTTTCTCACCACCCCAGCAATCTTGTCTTGGTGGGTGGTGCACTGGCAGCTCTCTTCCTAGAGCTCCCGTTGTCCCCGCATCTCGGGCCCCTCAAACCCACCTCCACGTTCCCAGTCTGCTCCCTAGGTCACAGTTCTCGTTATATGTATGATTTTTAAGAGAGAGAGAAAGAGGGAGAGAGGGAGAGAGAGAAAGAGAAGGAGAGGGCTATTACACACATGTGGAAGTCAGAGGCAACTGTCTGTAAGTCTGTAAGTCTTTCCATCATGGGGGTTCTGAGGTAGAACGTCAGGTCATCAGGCTTGGAAGCAGCACCTTTACCCACGGAGCCACCTTGGGAGCCTTTTGATATTTTTTGAAAATTATATTTATTTGCGTGTGTGCCTGGTGCCCATGGAAGGCAGAAGAGTATGTTGGATCCCCTGGAACTGGAGTTATAGACAGTTGTGAGTGTAGCGAGTGTTGGGAATGGATTGTGGTCTTCTGCAAGAGCAGCCAGAGTTCTTAACTGCTGAGCCATCTCCGCAGCTCCATTCACTCTGCATTTAATTTTAAGAACTTTTATTTTTAGAAGTTATTTTAAATCTGTCTTTTTAATATTTCTTTAACTTTTATTTTGTTTTATCTTATATATGTGAGTGTTTTGCCTACATGTATGTCTGTGCATCACTTGTGTGTCTGGTGACCAAGGCACCTGATCCCCTGGGACTGGACTTACAGAGGGTTGTGAACCACCATGTGTGTGCAGAGAATCGAACCTGAGCCCTTGGAAGAGCAAGAAGTTCTCTTAACTGCGGAGCCATCTCTCCAGCTCACCCTCCCACAACTGTTTTGAATTCCTTATGTCCCTAGCAGTTTTTTGCTTATTTATTTCATAGTCCAAAGCATCTAATTTGTTTTCTTTGGAGGTTAAAGTGGGGATGAGACAGACTTGAGAATCTCACTGTGGCAGCCCAGGCTGGCCTCACTCTTGTGCTAGCATTACTGGAGGGGCTGCCACCTGCTGTAAGCTTTGGTTTCTTTGGGAAGAACATTTGTATAGTTTTTGTACAGTGGATAATTCTGTTTTTAAATCCACGACTTCATTTGTGGAAATCCTGTAAAACCCTGACTGAAAATGAGTTCCTTTGATGAGGATTGCCCTGTGTTCTCCAAATCAGTGACAACTCTTTGGCATATGTATCATTTACACTCCCAATCTGGAGGGGCCCCAGCCCTCTGCAGGAAGAGTAAGGTTTAGAGTGCTTAACAGTTGCTGTGTTCAGTGGACTCCTGTGCCCATAACGGGAGGTCTGTACAGCAGACTTCGGTTATGCCTGCTGGAAGCAGCTGGTGGTGGCCTCGGAAGGCCAGTGAACACAGTGAACACTGCCCCACATTGGACACCAATCTCTTGGTAGAGGCTGCTTGTTCATTCCTGGCTGCCCAGACCCAAAATATCACACAGAAACTGTATTAATTAATTAAAACACTGCTTGGCCAATCACTTAGGCATATTGCTAGCTAGCTCTTACATCTTAAATTAACCCATCTTTATTAATCTGTGCATCACCATGAGGTTGTGGCCTACCGGTAAGGTTCCAGCGAGCTCCTGTGGGCATCTTTCTCCTTCGGCGGCTACATGGCATCTCTTTGATTCCACCTACTTTCTCTCTACATCTCTGTTCGGAAATCCTGCCTTGCTCTATTTTACCCTGTCTATAGCCCAAAGCAGATTCTTGCAGATTCTTTATTAACCAGTGGCAATAAAACATTCACAACATACAGATGGGTATCCCACATCACTAACTTAGGAAGAAAGTGTTTATTTCAGCCAACAGCTCTGGGGTCACCCTCCTGTCACTCGGGGAAGTCAGGGCAGAAACTGAGATAGAGCTGACACAGGCATGGAGGAGTGCTACTTACTGGCTTGCTCCTTGTGGCTTGCACATCCTGCCTTCTTATAGCAACCCAAGACCACCAGCCTAAAGGTGCCACTGCCCACAGTCAGCTGGGACCTCCCACATCAAACATCAATCAAGAAAATGCAGTCTTGTCCACAGGCCAATCTGGTGGGAGCATTTCTCACTTGGGGTCCAATCTTACAAAATGACTTTAACGTGTGACAAATTGGCATAAAACTAGCCAGTGCACACAGAATGACATGTAATGTACTCATGGCTGTGCCTTCTTGTGGTACAAGGTGCAACAGGCACCAAAGGGAGAGACTTGGTCAGTGGGGTCACACAGTGTTTACTCCCTTAACAAGTGATAAATTATCTGTTAGGACAAGGGACTCGGTGCCTTGAGAGTTTACTGTAGGCCATGTAGCCTAAATCTTAGGCCTCTAGGAAGAAATCATCTGTGTTTGTGCAAAGTAGGTAGTGTGCACCCTGGGGTACTCTACAAGAACAAGACCGATACAATGAATGTATTTTATTTTTTTAACATTTATTTATTTATTTATGTATACAATATTCTGTCTGTGTGTATGCCTGCAGACCAGAAGAGGGCACCACACCCCATTACAGATGGTTGTGAGCCACCATGTGGTTGCTGGGAATTGAACTCAGGACCTTTGGAAGAGCAGGCAATGCTCTTAACCTCTGAGCCATCTCTCCAACCCCCAATGAATGTATTTTAAAGGGTATTTATTATATTGGCTTACGTAGATAGTTCAAAAATAGCAATTTTCACATTGGAGAGGTTGAAAGCCCAATGTATTTATTATATTGGCTTACGCAGATAGTTCAACAATAGCAATTTTCACACTGGAGAGGTTGAAAGTCAATAACTGCTCAGGCCGGGAGACTAGATGTCTCAGCATCCAGGCTAGCGTTCGAGGCCTGGAGGATTCCGCGTTGAGAGTTATAAGCCAAAGAGGCTGGGTTCTCTTGTCAGCCCGGGATGGTGGCGGCAGCAGCTTGAAAACACCAGCAGAGTAGATAACCTTGCCAGCGGGGCCTGAGAGTGAACAGTTTGCCCTCAGACCTGCTTTTGTCAGGCTATCGCTGGAAGGCGCCATCCACATCTAGGGTGGTTCTTTCTCACCTCAAACAATATGATTAAAAACAAACGAACAAACAAACATCAAAAAACAAAAACAAAAAAAATGCCGGGCAGTGGTGGCACAGGTCTTTAATCTCAGCACTTGGGAGGCTGAGACAAGCAGATCTCTGTGAGTTCGAGGCCAGTCTGGTCTACAGCGGGCTGGCAGGAATGGGGAGCAGTTTGAGGACTGCCCCCTCCTCCTCTCCAGCATCCATGTACCAGTTTACAAAGCTGGGAGGACGGGCAGTGGGGGCCACCTGGCAGCCACTAGTAGAAGCGTTGGTCAAGGCTACCTATGACTGGCATCTCTGAGCTCTACCCCCCGTAATCCTGTGTGGCTGGTGTGCACATACCCATTTTATAGGTTGGAAACCAAATCTCAGCCCTGTGTCTTCCCACACCCTGTGTGCTAACAGCGCTGGTTGTTTACTCTGTGAGCCTGGAGAGGAAGGAGAATGCCGCTGCCCACCACACGTCGGAGTTCCAGACCCAGAAGCTGGTACTCAGACGCGGACAGATATTCAAAGTGAAGGTGGTACTAAACAGACCTCTCCAACCTCAGGACGAACTGAAGCTGATATTTTCTACCGGTGAGGCCTCAGCCCCAGGAGCGGGATGAAGGGTGGGAACACAAGGCTGATGGGTGTGCAATGGCCAAGGGTGACTTTGCTCCCTGAGCCTTAGCTTCCCCATGCTGACAGTGGACTAGGAACTGGGTTAATCACTCTGGCACAGTTGATGAAGCCCTTGGCCCATCAGTGGCGATGGCTAGGGAAGAGGCAGAGCAAACAGAGGCCAGCCAGTGAGGCAGTAGGTGCTGGGGACCTAAACTCAGGTCCTCATGCTTGTGTGACAGGCACTTGACTGACTAGACTATCTCCTTGGGCCCCTAAGTGTGGTACTTTTGATAACAGAGCTACAGTGTCAGCAAACAGCTTTGTGATTTATCTCTAGAATGTGTTTCTGATGCCTTTTAGAACAGCTGCCTCACTGGCACAGGCTGATTGGCCAGCTTAGGCAAAGTGGTAAGCTCCAGATTGAGGAAGACATTCAGTGTTGATCTATGGCGCATGCACACACACACATACACACATTCACACACAAACGTACATGCATACATACGTACACGCACATACAAATACACACACACACACACACACACACATGCACTGCATTTTGGCAGGAAGATCATTAGTTTAATGCATGTTGTAGTGACTATATTGGCCAGGGCTAAACAATTTAACAAAGCAGATAGAGACACACAAGAGAGGACTGGGCTTTGGAGTTACAGCCAAGAATATAGAAAGAGATGGGATAGCCTTGCCTAATTGGAGCAGACAGGGCAACCTAGATAGCCAAGGTGGAGGATGACCATGAGCCCTGTCAGGCAGAGGGACTATCAATTGAGGGCTGCCCTCCAGGAATTAGGAAGGAGCAATGGGAATTGGTGAGTGGACAAAGATGGCCATCCTGGGGTTGACGTCCAGACTCACTTCCCTGTTGATGTTTCCAGGAGAGAGATTGTCGCACTTGGTGGAGCTTGATCCGATGACATCCTTCCGTTCTAAGGGCTGGCAGGTGAAAATTACCAAACAGTCCGGTGTCGAGGTGAGAGCCATACTGGCTGGTGGCTTCTGGGTAGTTCCCTGTCTGCCCCCTCCTTGCTTCCCAGTGTATAATGCAGCTTACCACAGTAGCCTTGACTCTGGGTACCGCAGCTTCTTGCTCACCCATAGCGCACAGTAGCTCTGACTAGCCAGATGTTGCATAACTCTTGTTCCATATTTATGTTTGCTGGAGGAAATGAACAGAGGAAAATGAGTAAGAATAACCCATCAGGGCCAAGCGTGGTGGTGCACGCCTTTATTCCCAGCACTCTTGGGAGACAGAGGCACGTGATCTCTGCGAGCATCCTGCCAGCCTGGGTTATATAGTGAGTTCCAGGACAGCCAAGGCTACGGAGAGAGACCCTGTCTCAGAGAGAGGGAGACAGGGGAGGGGGGAGGGGAGGAGATCAATAGCAACCCATCTTCCTGCAAATGCAGTGCCCATTCCTCCCTCCAGGCCTTTTGTTTAAATTCAAAAGCAGTTGAAGGAGCCTTTTGCTTCTCACCTCCTTCTCTTAGCAGAACGTGACATCATCAGGGTTCTTTCCTTTAGGTTGCCAGCACAGCAGCCCCCACAGGTGTGGTGCTGTCTGTCTTCCCAGTGTTGGACAGTCACCACCAGCTGTCCCCCACCTAGCTAGACCTCTGAACTAGCCTGTGACTTCTTCCTTCAGACACAGCCTACAGGTTCCATTGCTGAGTTAATGCCAAGATTTAAAAAGGGCAAGGGTCAAGGGTCTTCAGGCTTTCTAGAAGCAGAATCTGCAGCCGGCAAATGAGTGGGTGGACCCTGGACTTCAGCCCCCCACGGGCCTCTTTTCCTTCGTTCCTTTCGGCCAGAACCAGGGCTTCAGTTTCCTCTTTGCAGCAGCATTTTGTGTTTTTCAGGAACTCACAACAGCCTCTCTAGGAAGGGTCTTTGACTTAGTCTCCTTCGCTAGGAACCTCAGTCTAGGTCACGGGGCTGGTGGGAATGGGGTAGGGGATGCGCTAAGTTTCTTCACTCAAAAGATATTGTTTAATATTATTGTTTAAAATTGCTTATTATTTATAGCAGCCATGAAGGAAGTGAATTTTTAATACCCATGGGAAGGTTTTTAAAATATATATGTATATATTTTTTTCTTTATTTTTAATGAAGTGTGTGTGTGCGCGCACGCCTGTGATATTTATATGTGAGTCAGGTGCCCATGGCAATGAATCTCCTAGAGTTGGAGTTAAAGGCAGTGTGAGCTGCCTGACATGGGTCCTGGGAATTGAACTTGGGTCCTCTGCAAGAGCACTACAAGTCTTTAACCGATGAGCCATCTCTCCAGCCTTTCTTTAAAATTTTAAACATGTGAACATGTATGTAAGACCCTGTATAGACCAGGGTGTCTGACGTTACTTGTACCATGGAAGGATGGGCTTCCTGTGTTGCTTGGTAATGAACGATGGCGAGGGTTCTAGTCTGTGCTGGGACCCAACAGGAAAGACTTTCCTCTCGTGCCGAGAGCTCTGTCAGCTAAGGACTGTGTCCCACCTGTGCTGTTGGTGCTCAGGAACACTTTCTCACAGAACGGCCCCTAATCAAGGCAGCCAAGTGACGCTGGGGGTCGAGAGAGGACATCCTGCCTTCCAGAAGGCTCGCTCTCTTTCTTACTGCCTTGTGTTTGTGTTGCTTGTCTAAGTCCCACAACCACTCCGGGAGATGGAGGAGGAGTCAGCAAACTTTCAAGCAAGGAAATGATGCACGTGAGAAATTAAGCAAGTAGTCAGTGTCATTCAGCTAGTGGGAGACTGGGCCGTTGCTCCTAGAGATACCTTCCAATAGCGAGTATCTCGTAGGTTTAGAAGCCCCTGGTTAATAAAATGATGGTTAATAAAATTCTTAGTGCAGCTGTAGGTACGGGAATGTCTGTGTCTTAGTTCTCTGCCCAGTCACTACCCACCCTGAAGCACTGGATGGCAGTCTGGGTGCCCTTGAAGATGCTTCAGGCCCTGCAGGGTTGAATGTGACCTAGGGTTTCCAGCATGCTAGGCAAGTGTTCTGCTGCTGAGCAGCACTCATGCCCTGCAGAGAGCAGGAACTGACGCTTGCTTTGCCCCTTGAAGCCCTGGGTGCTAGATTAGGCTCCTTATGCCACAGCCATAGGATCTGCCTTATGATCTGGGAGGTGGCCCTGTTTGTATGCAGGAGCAAAAGGAACAGAGCTTGGGATGAAATACACCTATGAGCTGCAAACCCAGGTTTATCTGCCACTTTGGTAGACTTTCTGGACCTTCCCACCTTGTGGGTTGCATCTTCTCCCATCGGGGTACGCCTGGTCTCCGGGTCGGCCCTGAGAGGATCATTTGTCAGTAGTGTTGATTCTCCTGGGGGGCCTCCCAGGATTCAGAGCTGAGTCAGGGAAGAACGCGTCTGCATGTCTCATGTTCCGTGCAGGTAACACTGGCTGTCATCAGCGCCGCGGATGCCATGGTGGGGATGTATTGCCTGAAGGTGAATGAGTTCAAAGGTGGAATATTCTTCCTTCTCTTCAATCCATGGTGTGCAGGTAACTCAGGAGTCCAGCTGTGCTGTGGAGTGTCCCCCCCTCACCCCAACTCGCAGACCTCACAGACACAGCCAGGAGTGCCCATGCTTGCCCCCGGTGCCGAGTCCCGGAACTGATGTTTGCTCTCAGGGCCCTCTCAGACTTGCTGACCAGCATGATCCAGGCACAGTTGCTGCATGCCTAGAAGATCCTCTGGAGACCAAGCTCACCAACACATGTCTTTCCTGCCATTTCAGCGCATCCTAACTGCCTTGCCAAGCCCAGCCAGCTTCTGCTTCTGCTACAGCCCTGCCCAGAGGCTGCTGGGAGCCACAGGGACTCCTCTCATCTTCACACCTGGCTCTTCTCAGATCGTCCCTTCCTGGCTACTCTTGAGCCGTTATACAAATGTCACTCATTTTCTACTTTAAATTTTTATCTTTTAATTTTATTTTTATTTCTCTCTTTCCCTCTCTCTTTTTCTCTCTCTCTCTCTCCCCCTCTCTCTCTCTTTGGTTTTTTGTTTTTATTTTTCAAGACAGGATTTCTCTGTGTAATAGCCCTGGCTGTCCTGGAACTCACTCTGTAGACCAGGCTGGCCTCGAACTCTCAGAGATCCACCTGCCTCTGCCTCCCGAGTGCCAGCATTAAAGGCATGCACCACCACCACCACCACCCGGCTATTTTTCTTATTTTTATTAGCTCTTTGAGCGCTTTGTGCAAACTGTTTTGGTGATATTCAGCCTCCTCCACCAGCTTCCTTCAGAGCACACATTCTTCCCTCTCCACCCAACAGTGTCTTTCTAACCCATCAGCCTTGTTCCAGAGATGCTGGAGTAGAGACCCCTCCACAGCCATCTCACCCACACCTACCCTTGACTTTCTTGTCAGCGAACTTCCAGGACAGTAGTTCTCAACCTGCAGGTCCTGACCCCTCTAGGGATGCACATCAGATATTTACACTATGATTCATAACAGTAGAAAAATCACAGTTATAAAGTAGCAATGAAATAATTTTGTGGCTGGGGGTCACCACAACATGAGGAACTGTATTAAAGGGTCGCAGCATCAGGAAGGTTGAGAACCACTGATCTAGAGGAACAAGCTCCTATCTGCTTTAACAGAAAAATCCTAATTTTTGTGATTTGTCTGGTGATTCATCATCCTTAGATTCAAGTCACATGCTCCTGGCTGGAATATTATGTGAAGTGTGTTGAAAATCATCTAGAGGCATACCACACATCCTTAGCCCTTAATTGGGAAATGTTAAACTTGGCATCATCTGATCTAGGTGTTGTCCAAAGGAAGACGATGATGTTCCTTTCAAAACTAGGAAGCAGCTTATGTGGAAACACTTCACAACCATGCAGATATGTACTCATCAGAACTCCCCTCCTCTGAATTTTGCCTGATTCAAGCAAGCAGTCTTCAGAGGGATATTATGCAGATGTCCAGTTCCAGCCCTCTGTCCACTCTTACCAGATGGACCCTGGCATTCTCTTGCTTCAAGTGCTTCTCCCAATCAATATTCATCCATCCATCCATCCATCCATCCATCACTAATCTGTCCATGCACAGCATCCATCCATCCACCCATCCATTCATCATCTCTGTAACTTATGGATTCTCTCTCTTTTTCAGCTTACTGATTTTATTTTATGTGTATGTTTTGTTTGACTGTGCATCACGTGTGTGCCTGGCACCTGGGGAGGTCAGACGAGAGTACTGAATCCCCTGGAACTGGAGTTAGGGATGGTTGTAAGCAACTGTATGGATGCTGGAAATGGAACCTGGGTCCTCTGCAAGAATAAGTGCCCTGGGCTGGAGAGATGGCTCAGTGGTTAAGAACATTGCCTGCTCTTCCAAAGGTCCTAAGTTCAATTCCCAGCAACTACATGGTGGCTCACAACCATATGTAATGAGGCCTGGTGCCCTCTTCTGGCCTTCAGGCATACACGCAGAAAAGAATATTCTATACATAAAAAAAAAGAAGTGCCCTTAGCTGCTGAGCCGTCTCTCCAGCCTCTGATTCTCTCTTTTATTAATGGTTTATGATTTATACTACATCATAATCTTCCTTATGTTCAAATTTCCTCACATTTTTCCAGTTGAAAGAGCCATGCACCTGGCTCAGGATGTCCTTTTGGAAGTTCTTCATTTTTTTATTTTGTTTTTGTTTTTGCTTTGAGACTGTCTCCCTATGTAGCCCTGGCAACTCTCAGTGTAGATTAGTCTGGCCTCAGATTCATGGAGCCCCACCTACCTCTGCCTCCCAAGTTTTTGTGTCGAGCATGAGCTACTACGTCTGACTGTTTGTATTTTCAATGTACAGTGTATTGCTGTGACCCTGTCTGCTTTTTGTTCCCATCCCCCCAGTATTTGTTGTCCCAGCCCTATGGTAAGCCTGCCTCTATCTCACGGGTAGTCAGTAACCCACATGTGTGTTGTCTTGCTTCAGATGATAGCGTTTTCATGCCTAGTGAGGAGGAGCGGGCAGAATACATCCTTAATGACACCGGCTACATTTACATGGGTTTTGCCAAACAAATCAAAGAGAAGCCCTGGACCTTTGGTCAGGTAATGGACTGACTTCTTCTGGCTGCGCCATGCATATGTTGTTTTTTTTTTTTTTTTTAGTGGTTATTAAACAAAGGCTGTGGAGCAAAGTGGGTTCACGTTAGCTGAAAAACTGGCCTCCAAAGTGTGAAACTTGCCTGAGAGGACTAAGATCCACAGAGCCCACAGGAGAAGCGGTTTGAACCAGAGGCCCCTTGTTCAGAGCCCACCAGTGCCTTTCCTATCCTTGGCTCTTTCCGATCTCCTATATTCCAGGAAATTTATCCAGGAACCATTCAGCAAGTCCATATATAGATGCCAGGTGACAGTGTGACAAGAAGCTCAAACCAGGAGGCATTTGGGAGGCTTGGGTGCAGAAGGTTCTGCTGCATAGAGAGATGGGTGTCTTGGTGCAGCTGTAGGAAGAGTGGCAACGTGGGTGGACAGAGGTTTGGTGGCTAACAAGTCCACCGTGTCAGCTTCATGGCATCAGAAGATGCCAGTCTTCCTCCCACATTTCACAGAGCAAAACACTGGAAAATGCCCACCCTTCAAACCTGCCTCCTGTCCCTGGTCTCTGCACAGAGCATAGAAGAGAGGAGGAAAAGTGGAGGAGGGACTTCCAGTCAGGAGGGTGTCTGCTTTGTGGGCAGCATGGTGTCAGGTTGTCCTGTGGCTGGAAGGCCAAGAGAGCAGCAGAAAAGGGGTAGGAATTGGTCGACAGAAAGGGAAAGTTCCAGGAGAAAGGTCCTGGGAGACTTTGCTGGAATCCTAGGTGAGCCGCTCCTCTCAGGAACTGGCTCAGCTCTGCTGCTTTCTGAACCACAGCTGTTGTTTGCTCCTTCCGCTTTGCTGTGTTTCCCATTGGGCTGCAGCATAACCAGCACATATCACAGGATTTAAAAAGTAACTCAGGCCTGAACTGAGCTGGGCACTGCTGGCCTAGCTTGTGTGAGGCCCTGGTTCTATCCTAGTAATGCTTATCACAAAAGACTTAGAAATACACGGGCCAGGTTTGGTCGCACATGCCTGTGATCTAAACACAAGAGAGGGTGACTCTGAAGCCGGTGTAGGGTAAGTAGGAAGATACAGTCTCAGTACACCAATGTGAACCAGGCATAGTAGCCAAAGCCTGTAATCCCAACACTCAGGAGGCAAAGGCAGGCGGGTCTCCATGAGAATGGAGCCAGTCTGTTCTATGTAGCAAGTTCCAGGAGAGCCAAGGCTATGTAGACCCTGGCTCAATAAAACAACAAAAGCAAAAAGACCTGCAACAATCAGCAGGTGGGGAGGGGGAAGAACAAAGAAGAAACTACAGTACATAAAACAAAATGTCAGCTTTCCGTGGTGACAATGTTACAGTTTAGAGCATTTCATTCTCTTAAACGTTTGTTTATTGTGTGTGGGGCACTGTAAGTGTTACAGTTCCAGGGGAAAGGCTTCCCCAGTGCAGGTGTTGCAGCTCTGTGTGTGTGTGTGTGGAGGGGGGGGGAGTTCCAATGCAAGTGTTGTAGCTCTGAAGGGAAAGGTATCCTGGCAGTCAGGAGCCATGAAATACCACAAAGTCACAGTGCACAATAAACTTCACACAGGACATTTATTGGGTGACTGTGCTTGCTTGGGCGAGAAGCAGCAGGACACCAAGGAGACAGACTTATATGGGGTTTCCTGGGGATGGGGGTTTTCCAAGGTGGAGCTTTCCGGTGGGGATTAGTGGGACTTCAAACCAAGCCCAGGGATTGGTGGGTTTTGAGGCTCAGAGATTTGTGGGTTTTGGTAGGTTTTCAAGCCTGGAAGTGGGGTTGGATCTGTGACCCTACATGCACACATGTGGTCCTGTGTGTAGAGGTCAGGACCTATTCTCAAGAGTCGGCTCTCTCCATGGGGTAGATCTTGAGGATCAAACTGCCTACCCTAGTCTTTATTTTTAAGGTATTTATTTATCTTATGTGTATTTTGCCTGTGTATGTCTGTGCACTGTGTACTTGCCTGGTGCCTGCGGAGGCCAGAAGAGGGCATTGGCTCTCCTGGAACTGGCTATGAACCACCATGTGTGTGTAGGAATTAAACCCAGGTCCTCTGCAAGAGCAGCAAGGCTCTTAACCACCGAATCATGCCCATCACCACCCTCATCCACCTTTTATTACTAATACTAACCAAGTTGAGATGACATTTCTCGTACACAGCTTGGCAACTTGTTTCATTGATTTAACTTGATTACCAAAGAATTTCCCTCACGGTACTGAAACCTCTTTGTGTCCTTCTCTATGTATGTGTGCACTTACCCACTGAGCCATCTTCCCAGCCCCGTGTTCACCTTTTCAATAGTTGTGCCCTGTGAGCCTTTGGATGTACTAACTGTTGTCATGTGTCTGACTGCTTGGTGGCTTCTACTGCAGAATGCGGAGGATCTTTGGGAGACCGTGGGCAATTTCCCTTACTTTGGAGATGAGTTATCCTTCAAGGAAATACAAACCAGATGGGGTTGGTTAGTGTCTGCCACAGGACAGAATCCTGATGCCTCTCTCTCTATCTCCACGACAGTTTGAGAAGAACATCCTGAAATGCTGCTTCTTCCTGCTTGCCCATCTGGAGCCCAGTGAGCTGCAGAACCCAGTGATTGTGTCCAGAGCCATTTGCACCATGGTATGTGGAGAAGCCAGATGCTACATCCAGGCTCCCAGAAGTCTGCAGAGCAAATGCTGTTGTGGTCTGTCAACACCTGCTCAGCCGAGTTAGGTTTTCCTGCAGACAGTAAGCTGCTCTCCACGAAGCTCACAGGGAGCTGCAGCAGAGCAGTTAAAACTATCAAGGGATGTGTTGTCTGCCACTGTCCTTCTGAGAACAGGCTCTCAAATTTGAGTTCAGAAGGCCAACTTTGCCACTTCTAAGTTGATCGTAGGAAATGGCTTTTCCAGTCTACAAGATGGTGTAAATATTCAAGGTTCTCGCCCTCCCTGTAGACCTGGCTGCAGCTAGGATGAACACTGTCATGAGTGTACTATGTAAGAATTTATTGACAGCAACAAGTTCACATGCTATGCCGTGTTGCTACGCTATGCTGACTTCCTTAGCAGCAGTGTATCGAGCAATCCTGATTTATCAGCCGAGGCAAACATAGGATTTTTTTATTTCAGTCTTACTAATATTCATTCTTGGATTACACATCACATAGTAAATATATCTACATGTGTGTATGCATGTGTGAATGTATGTATGTACAGATGTAAGTTATAGAATGGTCACAAAAGGATCAAAGAAACTGCAGCAGAATCCAAGGAGTTCAAAGAGGCAGAGAACCTGATAGGAATGCAAGAAGGATCTCTGCGGTGTGTGTGTGTAAGAGAGAGAAAGAGAGGTGTGTGTGTGTGTGTGTGTGTGTGTGTGAGAGAGAGAGAGAGAGAGAGAGAGAGAGAGAGAGAGAGAGAGAGAG